CCAAATATAAGTGGGGTGATATTCTCTATATCGATACAAACTGTCTGTCTGTCTTAGTGAACTAAGATGCAATGCATATTTAAAGTTTAGATGTTTGGATGAAATGAAAATTATATGTCATTTTCTTCATGCTTTCATATTTTAAGTCATTTGAATACCAAAAATAAAAAAAATAAAATTGAGGTCGTTTTCGAAAATGTTCTAAATTTATATTTTACCACTGATTCCCAAGGTGACATGGGAGGGAAAAGTCATATATTACTATTGTTTGAATTTAAATATTGGTAAAACTTTCACGTTTAATATAGTGCATTTTGAGTGAGATACTATTCAATGGAGAGATATCCCATAATGCATTGCATCAATGTGCAGTAACATGCTCAGTAGTGCATTTTGGTATATTTGCATGTTGCTATGTTGTCATGTGGAGTAGTGAAGTTGACTAACCTTTCCATTTTGTGTTTTTATTCATTCAGAATATTGGTGTTTGTATTGCTTCTTGTCAGTATTTTATGGATACCTGTTGTCCAGGCAACACAAGGTGGATTATTATTCATTTACATACAGACGGTTACAGCATATCTAACCCCTCCAATCACAGCAGTATTCCTTGGGGGAATTCTATGGAGTAGAATCAATGAACAGGTATAGCATTTGTAATGATTACAACAAATTACTAAAAATAGAACTTAACTTATAAATACTGTAAAATACTTAGCTGGATTAAATTTTCGGTGAAAAGACATTGCTTAGTATGGAATTTATTTTCACTGATTTTTGACAAGTTGAATGTAAAATATAGGAAAAAAGGTATGTTCGCTGGATTTTATTTTCATTGAATCATTCCTTCAGCGAAAATAGCGAAAATTAATTTCAAGCGAAAATAAAGTATTCTACGGTATGGCTAAATTGATTATTAAACTTGTTCAAATCCATCATCCTTGTGATGTTTCAAACAAATGTTGTGATTAAATGCTATAAATTATTATGATAGCATTTTATGCAACATTTTGCCCATTATTATGTATTTATCCTTGTTTTTTATTGACTAATGTCAACACAATTTATTTATTATTTGCTAGAGAACATAATCAAAATTTGTTAACAAGTATCAAACTAATATAAGGGTTTATTTTGTGCATGGTGTAAAAATTGACTTTGATGTTCAAAGAGTAAGTATGTGTATATTGTAACTATGGCACTTAACATATTTTAAAATATTTCATTTTGCATATCATCTGTACCTTATTATATCATTTCCAAATATGGAATAAGTGCAGTACAAAGATTTTTCAGCTTATTAGAAAGTTTTATTTTCAAATAAGTAATACATGCAGTCTAAAGTTTCAACACCTTATCAGGAAATGTTGTGATGAGAAATACACTTTATTCAAAGATTTATTTCTTTATAAGGAAGTGGTATTTCCAAATAAAGAATTCATTCTGTACAAAAATTCTTAATTTATAAGGAAGTGGCATTTCTCAATGAGAAATACACTCTGTTCAAAGTGTTGTCGGCTCCACCATGTGTCATTCGTGTCAATTTTTTACATTTTCACTTCTTAAAAACTACAAGCCTGATTGATTGCTTTGATACTGGTGTATATGTACCTTGGTTAGACCCCTCTCGGATTTGTTCATGATGATATTTCCCTGTTTCAAGTGCAGCCTGAAAGGAGGAGCACTAATTTGGGTTCTGTCTGTTCGAATGTCCAATTGCATCTTCAAAGTTTTCTCAGAAATTCTGCAGCAGATATCAATGAAGATTTACAGCTTGATGAATCTGGGTCTGGGTTCCAAATCTGGGTCTTTTTCATGATTTTCATCATCAATTACTACTCCGAAAAACACTGACAGAAGAATTCCACATGCTCGGAATACTGTAGAATACTTTATTTTCGCTTGGAATTTATTTTCGCTATTTTCGCTGAAGAGATGATTCTGTGAAAATAAAATCCAGTGAATATACTTTTTTTCCTATATTTCACATTCAACTCATAAAAAATCAGTGAAAATAAATTTCATACACCCAAAAAGCCTTTTCAGCGAAAATTAATTCCAGCGAAAATAAAGTATTCAAGATTTTATTGATTTTCACCTAATGTGTTCCATCCTAAATAAATCAATAACGGAAACACAGTATTGCAGTGCATGTAAAATACAGAGCTGTCATAAACAAACCAACAAAA